CTGATATACAAATTTATCAATTTTCAGAAAATGGTATAAGAGGAGGGCTATCTCAATGCTCGTTAAGGTATGCAAAGGCTAATAAAAAATACTTACCAAATTTTAATGAAGAAGATCCAAATTCTTTATTAGTTTATTTAGATTGTGTAAATTTGTATGGTTATGCTATGATGCAGCAACTACCTAATAAAAATTTCCGGTTTATAAAACAAAAAGAATTAAGAAGTTTTGATGTTAACTCTATTAGTTCTAATAGTAATGAAGGATATATACTCGAAGTTGACATGCAATATCCACGCGATATTCATGATGAACCGTCTGACTTACCGTTTGCAGCAGAAAAGTTAACAGTTCCAATATCATCAAACCTTAGTAATAAGAAATTGGTTGCGAATTTCTATGATAAATATAAATATGTTATCCATTACCGTCGTTTGCAAGAATGCCTAAGAAACGGACTTGTTTTATTCAAAATTCATAGGATTTTAGCTTTCAATCAAAAAGCATTTTTAGAGTCATATATTTCCCTAAATTTATCTTTAAGACAAAATGCTACATCTGATTTTGAAAGAGACTTTTTTTAAAAAACAAAACAATTCAATTTTTGGAAAAACTATAGAGAACAAAAGAAAACAAGTCGATGTTTAGCTAGTAAATGTATGGAAAGATAATTTTAATAACACAAATAAAGTCTGTGGTGCCGAAAAATAAATGTTAGTGCGCCTAATTTTAAAAAATTTAAAATTATTTCTGATAGCCTCGTAGCTATTCAACTCCGACCATAAAAAGTGATCTTGGATCGCCCAATATATGTGGGCTTTACTATTTTGCAACTTGCAAAAAGTCATTTATATAATTTTCATTATTCTGTAATGAAGAAAATATACAAAGATCATCATCATCATCATTACAGCCCTTCACAAGTCCACTGCTGAACATAGGCCTCCCCCAAAGAATGCCACAAAGCACGGTCCTGAGCCACCTGCATCCATCGACTTCCTGCATATCTTACCAGGTCGTCACTCCATCTAGTGGGGGGACGCCCTACACTTCGCCTGCCGGTACGAGGCTGCCACTCGAGAACCTTTCTTCCCCATCGGTTGTCGGTTCTTCGAGCTATATGGCCGGCCCATTGCCACTTCAGCTTACTAATCCGTTGGGCTATGTCGGTCACTCTAGTTCTACTGCGGATATCCTCATTTCTGAGTTTATCACGCAGAGAAACTCCGAGCATAGCCCTCTCCATAGCTCGCTGAGCGACCTTGAGCTTCCTCATCCGGCCAGCAGTGAAGGACCACGTCTCAGTTCCGTATGTCATCACTGGCAACACGCACTGGGTGTACAGTCTCGTTTTCAAGTTTTGAGGTATACCTGACGAGAAGATGTGCCGTAATTTCCCGAACGCTGCCCAACCGAGTTGAATCCGTCGATTGACCTCTCGGTCGAAGTTGGACTTACCTAGTCGGACTATTTGTCCCAGGTAAACATACTCGTCAACAACTTCGAGCTTAGTGTTCCCAACAACTACCGGCATAGGTGTGACATGGACATTAAACATGATCTTTGTTTTGTCCATGTTCATCTTAAGACCTATCCGTTGGGAAACACTATTGAGGTCATTGAGCATAGTGCTTAGGTCCTCCAGCGATTCTGCCATAAGGACTATATCGTCGGCAAATCGAAGGTGAGTGATGTACTCGCCATTGATGTTGATACCGTATCCTTTCCAGTCCAGAAGCTTGAAAACATCTTCCAATGCAGCGGTAAAGAGTTTCGGGGATATGACGTCACCCTGTCTTACACCTCTCTGCAATTGGATAGGTTTCGTACTCTGGTTCTGTACTCGGATAGCCATCGTAGCCCTACTGTACAAGCAATTCAACACTTCGATATACCGACAGTCAACTTGGCATCGCTGAAGGGACTGCAGCACCGCCCAAATTTCGACGGAATCAAAGGCTTTCTCATAGTCCACATACGCCAGACATAGTGGCAAATTGTACTCCACGGACTTATGTACAATTTGCCGAAGGGTAAGTATGTGGTCTATGGTGCTAAAGCCTTTTCGGAAACCGGCTTGTTCGGGAGGCTGGAAGTCGTCAAGTCTGCGCGCGAGACGATTCGTAATGACTCTCGAAAACTGCACGTAGACGCGGCTCAGAAGGGAAATCGGTCTGTAGTTCTTCAAGAGAGCGTTGTCGCCTTTCTTGAAGAACAAGACCACCGCACTTCTGCTCCACGCCTCCGGTGTATTGCCACCATGGAGGACGGAATTAAAGACCTTCTGAAGGACTTCAAGTACCGGTTTTCCACCCGCTTTCAGAAGCTCCGCTGTAATTCCATCCTCGCCTGGGGCCTTGCCGTTTTTAAGGTGCTGGAGAGCCATTCTAATCTCGCTCAGACTGACGTCCGGGATATCATCGGAATAATGTCGGATAAGACTCGCTCTTGGATCGTTGCTCACACTTGCGTGCGGCTCCAACGATGACGTGTACAGCTGCCCATAGAACCTCTCAATCTCACTCAAAATCTCAGGTGCCCCGGAAACGATGCTGCCACATTCTGTCTTCAGCTTTGACAGTTGGCGCTTTCTGGCAGACAGATCTCTGGCAAAGACTTTGGAGCCTTGGTTCCGCTCGATCGCTTCTTCAATACGAGCTGTATTGAAGTTGCGTAAGTCCCGCCGCATGCATTTGGAGATCTGTCTGTTCAGTTGCCTGTATGATGTTAAATCTGTTGAAGAATGTAGCTTCATCTCCCGTCTAACAGCCATGAGATTAAGACTGTGATCGGAGATTTTTTGTGTTCTTCTGCAGCGGGTCTTGCAGAACTTAGCTCCGACCGCATGGACAGTTTCCACGAGCTTGTCATTCAAATCGTCCACTTCATTGCAGTCTTCTAGGCACTGAAAACGGTTTTGTAACTCGAGCTGAAAGGTTTCGGGACTTTGGATTAGAGCACGAGGGGGACAGAGCGTTGACTTCATTAGACGAGACCTCTCCAACTTAACGTTTAGGTTCAGTGTGCCTCTGACCATTCGGTGATCGCTGCCGGTTTTCACCCTCGCGATCACTGAGACATCACTGAACAGTTGTCGTCTGGTCGTCATAATGAAGTCAATCTCATTTTTTGTCGAACCGTCGGGGCTCGACCAGGTCCACTTCCTGTGGGGCCGCTTCTGGAAGAAAGATTTCATCATAAAGAGTCCCTCTTTCTCCATGAAGTCAGCCAACTGCTGGCCCCTTGGGTTCCGTTGCCCTATTCCAAATTTCCCTACTTTCAGCTCACCGTTCTCTCTTGTGCCTAGTTTTGCATTGAAGTCTCCCATTAACACCGTATATTGGGTTTTGGAGGAATGCATGGCTCTAGAGATATCCTCATACATTTCCTCCACCTCCTGATCGGGGTGTGCCGAGGTTGGTGCGTAAACCTGTATGACCTTCAGCGAATACCGTTTGGTGATTCCGTTTGTATAAGGTACGCAACCCTCGTCGACACACTCCCGATCTTTACAACGTTGTTAACGAGATACTTGTGGACGATAAATCCGACACCTCCTTGGGACAGATGGTCGCCCTCCCGGTAATAGAGCAAGTTGCCGGATTCGAGGATTACCGTGTCCTCCCCCTCTCTTCGGACTTCGGATAATCCTATAATATGCCAGCGTAACTTGTCTATCTCTTCTTCCAGCTCCACAATCTTCTCGTCAGTCCTCAGGGTGCGTGCGTTGTATGTTGCCAGGTCGAGTCGTCGTAGGTGGCAACCGAACCTCCACCGGAGATACTTAGCACCCCCTGCCCCGCCGTTACCATGGTCGCCACCGTAGCCAAGAATAGCGGGGCCGCCGGGGACTGGGGGCCGTTTATTATTGTCATTGCTCATGGGGGGTATATTGCCATAGTTGCCACGCTTGGCGAGCGGGTTGGCAACCGCAGTTTTTTTATTGTTATTTTGACTAATATCAGGAAGATGCTGCTGCCCATCTCCTGCCTGTTTCCCTTTGTCGCCTTTTACGACACCCACGGGAAGATATGGGGTAGTGGATATTCTTAACCGCCACTACACGGCAAAATACAAAGATAATAATATCAAACTTTGTTACACTGAGACAGATAGTCTTTTGTATTTAATTTACACTGAAGACTTCTATAAAGAAATGAAAGATATTATTAAGTACTTTGATACAAGTAATTTTCCTGAAAATAATTTATACCATATTCCATAAGCAAATAAACAAATACCAGAGTATTTTAAAGATGAATTAAGTGGTGATATTATAACAGAGTTTATAGGCTTGAAAGCAAAATTATACTGCGTTAATACTTTAAAGTCCGCAATTAAAAAAGCAAAAGTTGTGAAAAAGCATATAACAAAAAATTAACTATTGAAAAGTATACAGATATTTTAAATTCTAAGAAAACCCATAGAGACACTATGTACGTAATACGATCTAAGAATCATATACTTCATACGCAAGAAATAAATAAGCTCATTCTTAGTGGCAATGATGATAAGCGACAATTATATGAAGATATGTATAAAACTTTGCCTTGGGGACATTATAGCAATTTATTTTAAATAGCATTATATTTTAACAAATGATGAAATATGAAATAATGAGGAATTAAATGATGAAATAAAGTAATAGTAATTTATAAAAAAAATATAAACATAAACATAATATGCAAATGAAAACAAATTACTTTATTTTGAATATTCTTTACTGCAAATATGTTCTATATTGTAACTAGTATATCGTTATTATAACTCTAGCTAAAATATAAAAAACCTTTATATGTAAGTTGAAATAAAAATACTGTATTATCATTATCATTTTTTGTTTTATTTATCATCCCATTAGATCCTTAAATACTAAATATTACATAAAACAATAGATTTAAATACACTTAACTTTTACAACAGAGTTATACATGTCGAAAAAATTTATCATTTATTTATAGACATTTTATTAACATAAATTTTATTAATTGATTTCAAACTTAAATACTATATTTGCTTAGTTTTTTTACCACTATACAAACTAAATGTTCTGTCTCATCCATGATGTCATCATATGCACTTGTCACTAGATATTGCACGTTCACAGCTGCATTTCCAGATTCAGTATTTATTTCATCGATATTACGACCATCTAAATCATGTATTATAATTTTTATTAAATGAAGTACATCACCCGTTTCCTTTCGCATGATAAATGATGTATTTTGCAAAGAATTTGATTTGACTTTTTTCTTTTTTATTTCTTCCTCCGATTTTTGGCGACGGCTCTGCTCGCACGTTTTTGCCGCCACTTCATTGTACCATCCATGCCTATCTTGAGCATAGTAAAATGGATTGGTAATTGGGTTTGAGTCTTCTATCAAATTCTGAAAGCCAGATATAAAATTACTACCCATCAATTTAAAATCAATTAAAAATAATAAAAAACTAAATAGTAACTTACCTCACGTATATTTTCTAAGCTATCCAAAACAGGACTGTAAGATGGTGTATGTGACATGTTTCTGAAAAACAAAAATGAGTATACATTACATATTTTATTACATTTATAAGAGTTATAATTACAATAGAAAATAGAATAAGTTACTTTATTATTTAAATTTTTCATTTAAAGTACTGACTCCAAATTTCAGCTAAAGAAACAAATGTGCTCTTTATATAAAGTACTGTAGCGAAATGACGTGATCATGTGTTCTAAGATGAGAATTGTATAATATACTCAGGATTTTTAAGATCAGAATAGCATTATTTTGCAAAGTAAGCATAGACCTACTAAGAAATTTGTAACACGAGAATAGGAGAACAGACATGATGTGACATGCATTTCTCTCTAATATTGTTCATGCAAAATTTAAATATATACCTATGTTTGTAGGTTAGTAACTCATTCAATAAGCACGATGAAGTTGATCAAACAACCCATATCGCTAAGTGTTAGCAATATTAATATTGATCACTCTGCTCACAAGATCAGACATAGCATTCTCTTACCAAATACCGTTCGCTGTATAATATACGGTCTCTCTAATTGCGGTGAAACAAACGTTGTAATAAGTTTATTGTAAGTTTATTGGTCTTTACTTGTATTCAAAAACTAACTATCAACCAAAATACCGTTTTTTACGAGAAGTAATTAAGAGAGTGCCTAATATTTCATTTTATGAGTTCAATGATAACAAAGACGTAATAGGTCCAAGTGAAGCTTTAAACAATTCTGTATTTATTTTTGATGATGTTGCTTGTGAAAATCAAATCAACATTTCTATGTGCAGGCGCAAGCAAATCGATTGCTTTTATTTATCTCAGACCTACTCAAAAATTCCGAAACAATTGCTGCGTGACAATGCCAATTTTATTATAATATTTAAACAAGATGATGTGAACATAAAACATATTTTTGAAGAACATGTTAGTTCTGATATGTCATGGAATCAATTTAAAAACATTTGTAATATAGTTTGGAGTAAGCCGTTTAATTTTGTTTGTATTAACAAAGACTCACCGTTAAACAATGGCAGGTATAGAAAGAATTTTGATATTTTTTTTAACCTAGAGTAAACTATTATAAACGAGTTTTTAGATAAAGCTATTTAGTTTTATTGTAGCCGCGATAGAATTAAGTATTGTAAAGCATTATGGATAAGTAAATTAAAATGGAATTAATTAAATCTGTGGACTCCATAAAGAATAAAATAAAAAAAAATGAAAAATAATGAGCATGAACTCAACTTATCCCTAGATAAAATGCTAAAACCTGTTACAGAACCCCTTAAAATCATAGTAAATAAGCAAAAACCAAATCAAGACCATAATTTATCGATGTAATCATGCGCAAGTTCTGCTGGATCATTTGAATCGGAATTTCAGAACTATTACATCCCCAAAAAATGAAATTAAAGATAATTTAGAGGCTTCACTAGATCGGAATTATATCTATGATATTTACGATGATAAATTAAATATACCATTTGGGATAAGAAAACTTACATGATGGGAAATTCAGAAGTTACTTTTTCTAAAATTGACAGTTTGGATAACGAAACTGTATTATTAGTAAAAATTGGAGACAAATCTTACAATTTTTAACTATCGGGTTAAGAGAACTTCTACTTAGAAAAAAAACCTGATTTGAATTTAGTATCAAACGCTGATAAACTCGTGTACAAAGATATTCTACACCATACTAATGCTCATTTTAACCCTAGAGGTCAAATAAGAGGTTATAAGGGAATTAAATATCGAAAAATGATTAAACCATTATTTTCCGAGACCTTAATCAAATATAAAAAAATCGAAGAAAAGCTTGGAGGTAATTTACTTAAGCTTAAGAAATATAAAATCAACACTGATATTGTATATTGGGACGATCCAAATGAATTAGTTGATAAATTAAAACTTTTAATAGCTTCAGGAGATGCGGGCAATACAAATATTTTACTCAGTATTAGTGAAGTTGCTCGTGTTGCACATTACTAAAAAAATTGTCTGTATTTATTTAAGTAACAAGCAGCATAAATGAATTATTTTTAATAACTAACAACATAAAAATAAAAAAAAATACATTATTTTTTGAACACGAGTAAAGCCGATATAGTAAATGAAATTCATAGAAATGCTAGGGTGTATTACCCACGTAGAAATGTTATTACGAAAGATATAGATGATTTATGGCGAGCAGACTTAATTGATATGCAATCAGTTTCTAAGGAAAACAAAAACATCAGATTTATTCTTACCGTTATTGATACATTTTCGAAATACGCTTGGGCTTTTCCAATTAAGACTAAAAGTAAAGAAGACGTATGCTATAATTTTATGAAGCTCCTAAAAACACGTGTACCCAAAAATCTGCAAATCGACAATGGAAAAGAATTTTATAACGATAAGTTTAAAAAAATTATGAATTCTTATAATATTAATCATTACTCAACCTTTTCAACAAAGAAGGCTTCTACTAGGCAAGACACACCACTGACGATAATACGACACGTGTTTCGCCTCTACACGAGGCATCCTCAGGTGATATAGACTCTACGGTGGCTAACCGCTAAGTAGCCATACTTCGTGTCGTATTATCGTCAGTGGTGTGTCTTGCCTAGTGTAGTGGTGTTGGGAGTAGCGGTGCTGGGATTAGTGGTGACGGGGATAGTGCACGCAATTGAGGGAGGGCGGGAGGTGCTTCTTCATACTAGGTAAGACACATCATTTTATTTTATAACGCGGATATTTGCGAAGTAAATTTTTGTAAAAGCTTTTATATAATGGATTTCCGCAAAGTAACGCCTGATTCTATTAAAGCTATGCAATCAAAAATCAAAACTGGGGCTGGCTTATATAATGGCAATAGTAATAAAATGTCTCCGAGAAATTTGGGGAATGAATTTAAAAATAAGTTTAATAATATCATTACAAAAACGAAAACATGTATGCAAAAATTAAAACCAAAATGCAAGAAAGCAGCAATTGAGATAGCTATAGCTGCTGCTAGAGAACTAGTTGATAATTCTGTTATAAAACTTCCTCGCACTATTCCTATACCAAAAACTGGTGAAGTACTACCTTTGATTCCGATTTTTGCCGGATTATCGGCTACGGGAGCCTTAGCAAATAGTGCAGCTGGTATACTTAAAACTATAAATGAAATTAAAATGGCTAAAAAACAATTTGCTGAATTGAAGAGACACAATGAAAAAATGGAAGCTCATTGTATCGAAAATGGGTTACAGTTTAAGCCTCATAAAAATGGATTTGGCATTTTTGTATCTAAAGAAATAAAAAACTATAATATAAGCTACCCAAACGCGCCTTAACTCACATTGACATTTTAAAGTATGGAAAAAATATTCCCTATTTTTGAGGTGTCTTTATGAGAGATGAGCTCTCAACACACCCTTTTAAAAAAGAATGTGGAGTTATAAATTTAGATATTTCCTCAAATCCGGGATCTTATTGGGTAGCCTATGTAAAATTTAATAATTATGTTGAATATTTCGACAGTTATGGAAATCTTAAACCTCCAATGGAATTGATAAAATATTTAGGTCCTAAAGTCCACTATAATTATGATAACATACAGCGTGATCATCCTTTTAATTGTGGACATCTTTGTTTGTTTTTTTTGGAGAATTTTTGGCGCAATCACGATATTAAATAAACAAGAACTTCATAAATTGCTCAGTATGCATTACTCGTAGACATGCAGTATACAAGCATGTCTACGAGTATAACAGGAAATAAATTAGAATTGGATTCCTACTTTCAACCGCCTCTGAGTTTATCAGGTCAATACGAGTGCGGTTTACTATATTTTTCAGTAATAAACTCAACAACAAAATATTCTTATGTTGATAGCAAGTTCCCATCTGTGATCAGAATCGAATTTGATCTCATATACGGTTCATATTGCAACGGGTTACCTACTCATATTATTCACGAATTTGTATCTAAAACTGCTGCAGATAATCAATACATAGAAATACCTCAGAACGTTATTTACTTCCCAGTGAATAAAAATAATATTACATCTATAACTATTAAATTTTTAGATTATTTTGGCTACAGAATTATTTTAAAGAACACTATATTGAAATTCGCCTCCATTTGAGGAAAGTAAAATGATATTGCACTATAAAAACCCTACAGTCTACTTAAAGCGCCCTATTACTTCTACATTCACTAAGGTGCGAAGACGTGAGAAAAAATTTAAGACCTTGAGTAAAAATAATATAGATTTTCTAAAGTCCTTAGGGTTCAAAGTATGAATATGCTACAGATTAATGACTTACCAAACTTCGATACTTCTATTGAAAGTTTTCATAACTTCTTTCATAAATTCTTATAATCCTTATAATAATGGCTTTAGAGAAAACGATGAAATAAGAATTCCTATACATCAGCAAGACATATAATATGTATTACCATCAGCCAGTTCAATTTACATCGAAGGTCGTGCAAAGCTCTTCAGCAAAGATGGATACCAGATTAAAAAACCTGTTACGTTCAGTAATAATCCTATTATATTCTTGTTTCAAGACATTAGGTATGAGAAAAATGGAATCGAATTAGATCGTATTAAAAATGCTGGTATAACGTCAACAATTAATTTTTTCAATGAATGAAGCAGAAAATAAAGTAGCAGCTTTGTGGGGTTGGGAAATGGATGGATTTAAAAGTGAAAACGGTGATTTTAGTGCTACTGTACCTTTGAATAAGATTTTAGGGTTTGCAGAAGATTATGCTAAAATTGTAATAAATTGTAAACATGAACTTATAATGAACAGAAGTAATTCTAACATAAATAGTATTATAGGAACTGAAGATGTTGCACATTTTCAAATAGATATACAAATAATACAATGGCGAGTGCCAGATGTGAAAGTATCAGATCGTGAACGACTGAAACTTCTTCAACATTTAGAAAGAGATAAACCTATACAGATGGCATTTAGAAATTGGGATTTATATGAATACCCTTTACTTCCTACAGCAACTAAGCATTCCTGGT